TGTGTGTGTGTGTTATCTCAGTTATCAGAAGCTGACTGAGGTTACGGCCGTTTCACAGGCTGCACTTTCACTAGTTTGTCATGTAATATGCTCACACTCGTTTAGCTCGGTTAATTAGACTGTGTGGATTCTGCCTCAGGAATTACAGCTGCAGACATTTAACAATGATCTCAAGGCCAGATGAATCCAGCTATGGGTTTTCTCTCTATAAAGAGAGTTTATAAAATCATGGTTTTCATGATTGTCACTTGAACTACACTTCTTTGGGGAAATCTCTGTTATTAAAGTAAAAATACTATTACTGTACATTTAATGGGTTGAGTGAAGAATGGTCATTTCACTTTCTGCTGGAACATTCAGATAATATTCAAAAAGCCATATTCAGAATACATAATATACATAATATATGTATCGGCATGGTCAGAGATGAACCAGAGCTGAATCACAATTCAAATGTGAGGGCAAAAATTTATTTTCTCTGTAGTTTAGTGGGTTTATTGTCACCATATGATCTACATGATCTGTCATAGATCTGTATTAACTGTTCAGAGGGGAGTTTGTTAAACATGCAGCTAATACGTCATCAAGAACCATGAAAAACTGCAAATAAAACTGTGAATTAGAAGAAAACATTCAAGAAAAAAAAAATCAATAACAGAGATTTAATGGGTCTTTGCAGCCTCCATAATGCAAAAGGAGAAAATACTTCAAATTAAATAATAATAATAATAATAAATAGGGTTAATCTTTTCTTACATTGCTGCAGTTTCATGTGAAAAAAAGTTTTAAATGTTATATTTTACTTTTATATTTTATTTAATTAATTTTATAAATATAAATATTATAAACTTGTTTAAAATTAGTTATCATAAATATATTTGCAATAATACAACATAAAGACAGTATATTTTGCTGTTTTTTTTGTGCCATCATTTTTTTTTACATTTAATAGGCTGAAACTGTTATAGAATATTTTTTAAAAGTATAACTTTTAAATTAAGTGAATATTATAACATATTATAAATAAAATATTAGAACTTCAATTGCAGCTACATTTATTATATTACGATTACACAGATACATTTAATATCAGCTAAACTCCCTTGAGTTGTGCATATGTCTGATCCGCCTGTGCTCTTTTCATGGTGGTAAATTGCAAAAGTTATATTGCAATATCTCCATAAATGTTGCATTAAGCACCGTTTGAGAAAACCATATGATCCTTCTGCACTCTATTCATGGCAAAGCAGTTTAAAGAGCCCCACCACCAGCCCTCTATAGTGCACACTACAGTAAAGAGACTTAAGAGCAGCAATGCTGTCTCAGAAGAGCCCGAGGAAGAGCAGATATACAATCAATAATTGAGAGAGGACACTGATTAAATCATAATTATAAAGAAGGAAAAAGAAGAAAAAACCAAGTGTGTTTGTGTAAGTGAATCTGAAACACTGCCGCAAAACCTAGTGAACTTGATCTTCAATAGAGCAACATTATAACATGAATTATTCATACAGAAATAAAAACTCTGTCATTATTTAATCTCACGCTGCTCCAAACCCAGAAGACTTTTGTTCATCTTGGAGCACAAATGAGATATTTTTTTTATATTCGCACATACTTTTTTGAGCATCCATTAAAAGTCTGCATGATGACCGTTTTCAAGCTTCATATTTGACTTCAGAGCATCTCAGAGTAATTCCACTTCTCATTAAAGGTTTGTTTGACTTCAGAAGGTTTAAATTACAGCATAAGTGAGATGTTGATTACTTTTAAAGTGATTTACACTGCATGTTTTTTTTTCCTGTGAATTACCTTTGTACACGACAGAGCTGCATAAATCTTTAAAAATTCTCCTTTTGCGTTCTTCATATAACATGCAATGTACAGATTACACTTCTGGGATGAAGACAAGTGAGAGTAAATGATGGCAGAATTTCATTTTTGGAGTAAATGATCACATTAAAGGGATATTTATTATTTATCAAAGTAAATCTTCCTCACATGCAGCTGATTGCGATGCATTTTGTAACTCATCAGTGTTTAGGATCAGTAAGACATTTCCTTTTATTCAGCAAGGACGCATTAAATTAATCAAAAGTGACATTAAAGACATTTATAATGTTACAAAATATTTCTATTTCAAATAAATGCTGTTCTTTTGAACTTTCTATTCTTCAAAGAATATTGAAAAATAAAACGTATCAGTTTCTAAAAAAAAAACATTCATCAGCACAACGGTTTTCAACATTGATAATAATCAGAAATGTTTCTAATAATCAGCATATTAGAATGATTTCTGAAGATCATGTGACACTGAAGACTGGAGTAATGATGCTGAAAATACAGCTTTGATCACAGAAATACATTACAGTTTAACAGATATTCACATAGAAAACTGCTATTTTAAACTGTAATAATATTTCACAATTTTCACTGCATTTTTGATCAAATAAACGCAGCTCTGGTGAGCAGAAGAGACGGAAAACTTTACACACTTTTAATTTTGTGTGTATAATTTGATATAAACATCACATCACAAGTGCCAATAATGCCACAAATTGTTTTGGGGTAGGTAAGTCACTAGGTTTCAAGACAGAACCAAAAATGAAGAGAGAACGTGAATTATAAAAAGAGCCAGGAGGGTGATAGAGAAACAGAGAGCCATCAGTGCAGCACTGATGTTGATGTTGAGTGTGAGATTGAGAGCAGACTGTGGGTCGGTGAAGAAGAGCTTGCCTGAGTGAACTCCTGCTCTACCTATCCTGATGGACAGCTGCTCCTCCTCCGACAGGCCGGCCATCGAGCTCTTCTTCTTCAGTTTGGCATCAGACTGCAGCACCACAGCCATATGAGGATCCGTCCCCACACCCTGAAAGAAAAATATTAAATAATTGATATGAATGATATGAACACATTGCAAATGGCAAACCATCACTGTGTGAGTTTGTAGATTTTGAACAGTTCTGACTCCCAACCAGGGGATAACATTGGAAAGATTTCAGTTGTTTTGGTAAAATACATACATACATACATACATACATACATACATAAGTAAGTAAATAATTAAAGAAATTAATTTATTTGCTTACTTGAGTAACCATAATTTATTTATTGAAAATTAATTAAATTAAATTAATTTAAAAAAAAAAAAAATTATTTCAGTACTGTCTTGGAGTTCAAACAGTTTCTTCAGTAAATAAATAAATAATTTTCATTCATTCATTCATTCATTTTATTTATTTTTTACTGAATCATATTTTATTGAAATAAGTTAATAAATTAAGTAATGTATTTTAGTATTGTTTGTAGTATTGTTCACACACAGTTACTTAAATGAATGTATTTATTTATTTAATTAATTAAAGTAAGCATAAATTATTTATTCAAATAAATTCATAAATTAAATAACTCATTTTCCTATTGTTTTGATGTTCAGACACGGATGCTTAAATAAATGCATTAATAAATAATGTTATTTTTATCCATCATCCATCTATCCATCTATCTATCTATATATCTATCGTTCTATCTATCTATCTACTTAGAGTAACCATTATTTCTTAAAATAAATTAATAAATTAAAAGTAACTTATTTTAGTATTGTTTTGATGTTCATACATGCTTAAATTAATGAATGAATAAATAGTATGATTTTATTTATTGACTTATCTACTTTTACCATGATTTATTTATTGAAATAAGTTAATACTTTTCTTTTAATGGGGTCATATGATGTGATTTCAATTGTTCCTTTCTCTTTGGAGTGTTACAAGCTCTTGGTGCATAAAGAAGATCTGTAAAGTTGCAAAGACTAAAGTCTCAAATCCAAAGAGATATTCTTTATAAAAGTTAAGAGTCAGCCACACCTACCTAAACCGGCTCGTTCTAACACGCCCCCACATCAGTATGTGGAAAATAATGTGTTTTTTGAACCTTAAACCGCATAAACACATTTCATTACACCAAATACACAAAATAATGTTCTTTTTTAGCAACATCATATGACCCCTTTAACGTATGTTGATCTCTCAGGTGAAAATACAGCGTTTCCCTGCGTAATTGTCATTATTCAAACATATTTAACTGCTGAATCTGACCAATCAGAATCAAGTGTTCCAGAGAGCCATGTAATAACAGGAAAAGCATCAACTGACGAGCCGCTGCATTTACATGAATGCAATTCAGTGAGATCTCATCTTTAATAAAGCTCATATCTGACGTGCTGCATCAGACACACAGTGAAAGCCTGAGCCTTTAAAAGCCTCGCACCTTTTGTATGCGTCATCTATAAACATTATTAAAGACACAGTCTGACACGATTTGTCTAGACGTCACCCAAGAAAATATCTACCTACACAAACCAAATGCCAATGGGGTTCAGTCTCTGATATCGACCCATATCTTTTCTTTTCATCATGTCTTTTTTTTTTTTTTTTTTATATATTAGCTTTTGAAAACACAAGCACGGTGAAATTGCATGCAATCCATTTCAGAGCTGCCATTAATAAAGTTCCTCGGGCTGTTGCATTCACTCTAAATAAATAAACGCACAGAGAGAGATGTGACATTAAGAAGCCACATTATACCATTACAAAACAAAAACAGAAATGCTGCTAGCCGAATAATGGACGACAGGCTAATAAATGTTTCATTCACAACACACCTTTCATGGTAATCGAATGAATGATATAATTATTCATCTCACTGTACAGATGATTGAGTATGATTTTGGTGACACAACTGCTTATTTATACTCTACAAACAATTTTAAAACTAAACTTTTGCCGAATTGATGTGACTGCTGTCCAATTCTGCTACAAGTAACATTCACTTCAAAGCAAACGGCTGTAATAACATTGTCGTCTTCTGTTCAGGCTGAGACATGTGGAGAGCAGAAAGAAGCTTAAGTGGTTACGAGCATCAAACGGCACAGTTTTAGCTTCCATTAGAGCTGAGGGAGACGCTGTTTCTTATATTGATTGTTTGCTCTTTATGGCTAAGAGTTAAAATCATCTAAACGTGTCAGAAAAACTTTTTCCTTTTTCATCTGCAGCCTCATCTGTTAGCTGGTCACTCAAACCTGGCTGAATTATTGTAGTTTTAGGCGTTTTACAGCGGTCAGGCTGGGGAACCGGTCTGGGAGACAAGCTTAAACCAACTAAAACCAGCTTAAACCAGCAAAAAAAAAAATTATTTATCTACTTAAGTAACTGTATGGAAATACTTTATGAAGTAAATTTATGAATGATTTATTTCGTTTATGGAAATAAATTAATGAAGTAATTTATTTTAGTATTGCTTTGATCTTAAATAAAATAAATGAATAAATAAACGACTTGCATTTTATTTATTTACATAAGTAACTAATTTATTTATTGATATAAATTAATAAATTCATTTATTTTAGTATTGTTTTGGTGTTCCCACAAGGTTAAATAAAGAAAGAAAGAAATATATTATTAAATATAAATAAAGAAATAAATATATTCATAAATATATCTGTAATTTATTTAATGAAATAAATTAAAGAAAGTTATTTTAGTATTGTTTAATGTTTTATATAAATAAAGTATTGGAACTAACTAATTTATTTATTGAAATAAATTAAAGAAAGTTATTTTAGTATTTTTGAGGTTTTATATAAATAAATAAATTATTGGAACTGATCTTAATACATGGTTAAATAAATAAATAAATAAATAAATACATACATACATTTTCATTGTCTTGTACAGATACAAAATAGTGAGACAGAATATGATCACGACAACATCGAAAACACACATTTTTCAGATACAGGGTAATGGTCATTATTCAGAAATATCTGACCAAGGAATTATTTTGAATATGTTCAAAATAAACAAATATGTATTATTATTATTATTAGTTTTTATATTTCTACTGCCTTTCCATTATCTGTGTGCCGTTCCTTGCTTATCTGTCACCAACCTCAGATACGAAGATAATATTCACATGGAGTCATATATTTATTATAAATATTGACATATCTTGCATTCACTTCAATGAAAGAGTAGATTGAGACTGCAGGGTTGATTCCCGTCAATAGTCACTGTCACTTTAGAGGCTCCGTCGGCCTGAAGACACTCACGTCACCTTGCACCCAGTAAAGAAATCGATAACAGCTCTTTCAGGCAATTTGCAAGATAGTCTCCATCCACTAAACTCAAAGGCATTTCATCTTTAAAACTTAATATGAAGGAAACGTAAATGTCACAACCACAGGTGAAAAATATCAGAAATTCACTAAAAGTTCTGCATTAAACACAAGCACAGAAGAGCTTCATACAAAAAAAGTTCAAGAATATACGAGCATTCCTCTGACTGATGTATATCTTGATCATGCATCATCAGTCAAAGAATAACATATAATCAGTCGCCTCAATGCAGATCATCTGCAAGAAATCTGTGAGCTTTTGGCTCATGGGACGAGCATTTGTGCAATAATCCAGAAACAACTGCATGAAATATTCATACATCGATTCCACAGATTCTAGGACTGCATATAAATGTAATATGCAGAGGCTTGAAGAAATTTAAGAAACTTAAGAAATATATCACACAGTCTTAGCAGAGAAGAAAGTGTGTGACCTCCAGCAGAACGTCATCGCTCTTTATTCCAGAAGAAACATGATTGTAAACACTGATGTGTGTGTCTTAGAAACACTCACACACACACACACACACTCACACACACACACACTCACAGATGAAGGGCACTAATGCAGAGGAGCAAGACGGGGTACCATTATACTGTTTTTTACTACAGATATGATATAAGTCTATGCATGAAAAGAAAACAACTTTAGTAAGAGAAACAAAAGAGCGTGATTTAGGCTTATATATTTCAATAAATAAATCGCAGTAGTTGCTCAGCTGGTGCAAAACGGCCAGCAGCATGTGACTATCTTGAGCTGTGATGGAAAAGGCAGCAGACGGGGGGAACGTCCTTTTAACACTTTTAAGAGTGACAGTAAAAACATTTAAAATGTTACAAAAGATTTAGATTTCAAATAAAAGCTGTTTTTTTGAACATTTTATTCATCAAAAATCCTGGAAAAAAGTATCATGGTTTCCACAAAAATATTCTGCACTATTAAGCAAAAACTCTTTCCAACATTGATAATAATAAGAACCCTTTTAATAATTGAGCACCAATAATAACTTATAATAACTAAGCAGAAAATCAGCATATTAGAATGAAGACTGGAGTAATGATGCTGAAAATTCAGCTTTGATCACAAGAATAAATTACATTTTAACAGATATTCACATAGAAAACAGCTATTTTACATTGTAATAATATTTCACAATTTTATGTTTTTACTGTATTTTTTTATCAAATAAATGCAGCCTTGATGAGCAGAAGAGACATTAAACAATAATTAATTATTCCAAACTTGACCAGCACTGTATCTGTATACTAGCATATAAATGGCCTCAGAGCTAACCTAATCTTCAATGTTAATTGCATAGGGTGTTTAAATCATCAAACTGTGGTCTGAGATCTACAAAACCCTGTCAGGTTTGTATATGCATGTGAGACAATAGAGTTAAATACCTGCAATTTATTGCTCTCATCTGATGTCCTCAGAGAGTTTATGACATTACGATTGCATTGTCGAATGAGATGCACGCCATGTTTTCAAACAAGATACTTTATCATTGAAATAACACCATGTCCTTTCCACTATTTCCCAAACATGACACATTTTCCTCTTGACTAATTCAAATATGTGTGTTCAGTATGGTATTCGTGCATGTGGAACCCACACAGAAAAAAAGGCCATAAAGCCGAATGTCCAGTATTTCACAGAAACACGCGTGTTGATCTCTTTGGGGAACAGAATG